ATTAAATTGAACAGGAATAGAAAGAGAGGTATTATTTTTGTGGCAAGTTTGTAAACTGGAATTATCTTGAAGATGTATATATGCATATTTTTGTCATGTGAAGACATTTCCAAAAAATGCTATCGTAGCCATCTCAGGATGATGACACTCCCTTAAAAATGGGACTGTGTTAGGTATTAGTGATGCTACTTTGTGTCTCCTAACATGATGACTGATCATCATCATTTCGAGCTGCTGCTTATTTCACTAGTTTTGGACTCAGTAAAAGTTTCTTTGGAGTCTGAACCAGAAAACTATTTGCATTAAATGATCTTCCCCGTTCCTAGTGTCATACAGTTCTCTGACAACCAAGTTTCTTTTTCTGATTCTCCACACCCCTCCTCCCCCATCCCCCCATTTTGTGGTAAGTTCTTATATTAGAGAATAAACAGTGACTTGTCCAGAGTTACTTTATGCTCTGTTTTTCAGAACGTCCTGAAACTTTAAATCTTCCAGAACAGTTCACTGCAAAGTTCTTGACAGATCTGTGTCGAAGAACCAGTTAGTATTTCTCTCTAGGCCCTTGAAGGAATCAGCTTGTTAGGCATGTGGTTGACTTGTTCATCGAAGGAAGGCTGCTGTGTGATGGCACCAACAGCCCAGAAAGATCTGTACATAGACAGTAAGGCTGTTGTTCTTTTCTCAGGACATGTGTGTGAAATAAACCTAAGCTTTTTCTGAGGATCTAATTGTAGTCTTGATGAGCACCAGCATAATCTTTCTACATATATCCACTCCAGTTGTGTCCCTTCAGTTGCTAATACCCTTACTTGGACATACACTTCATTTATTTTTGTCTTTCCCCTTTTTTGCACTTGCAGCTTAGAAAAAAACCCAAACCTTGAATGATGGAATGACAAGGTCATAATACTACAAATAATACTGAATGGGTTTTTGAAGGCCATGGTAGTAATAGTCAAATCAATAGATTATGGATGTATTGCCATACCTAGATTGATGGCTAAATCTCTTAGATTATACAAGTCTAGAAATATTTTGGGTGTCTTGATATATAAAATTGCTGTATGACTAAGGTGGCTAATTAGCACTGAAAAAAACCCAGTATTATTAAAACATTTCTGGATATTACAAATGCTTATACCTCAGGGCAGATTCCATACCATGAGCTCTATGATAGATTCAGTCTGTGATCATAGTTATCGCCTGTAAGGTTATGTTTTAGATTCATCTGACACCTCATGCAAAACTTCATCTTTGTTACTTACAGACATGGCTCACCACTTTGTGTTTCCAGGAATCACAGTTTTGCCTGGATTTCTATAAGACTTGTACATTTCTGGAAGGCATGAGGAGTAAGTTTGTACAGGCTATCCTATTTTTTTTCCTGTCAGGGAAAGAAAAATCTAAACCAAAAGACCCCCCCTGTCAGCTCTTTCAGAAAACTGTTAAATTGGAGCAGTTATGAATAATATCTCCAATTTATGAAGGGTACTAGCATTGCTCTGTATATGTCTCGGTTTATCCTTACACTGGTTCTGAATGAAAGTGTTAGACATCGGGAATTGCATCAGAACTGTAGACAATGCTGATTTTCATGTGTTCGAACTTTTCTATGTTGTATGTTGCTGTTGGCCACCTCTTTCAGTGAGAAAGAGATTGCACTGAATTTAGCCTGCTAAAGCTTTACTACTTTGGGAATTCCCAAAATGGAATATAGGCAGGGAGAAAGCAGTTGACAGAGAATTGTTTCTTACTAGTTCATTACCACTTCTTTCAGATTCAGGTTCTCTGTGTTTGGAAAAAGCTATGCTTAGATTGTTCTGTCTTTGATTCAGTGCATGAATATAGCTGAAATACGTGTGCATTGAATGGAAGGTCTTGGCAAAGTCTGGGATAGAGAGAGGTTAGCTAAAACAGTGTATCTGAAAGCATTCCAGCCACTACCAAGTGGCTAATCTTTCTTTTATCCTAGCGGTAATGAGAATTCGGACAGTAAGATCTGTGTTTGTATGCATTACCATAATAATAGAGAGCAAGGATATAAGGTAGAATGCTGGTGCCAGGTATGCATTCAGTTATATTGTTCACTGTCTATGTCTTGACTTTGTATAATCCAATTTTCAAAGATAATTTATCTTGAAATAGTAAAGCAGCCATTCTAGTTAGGAAATTTTGTATTGGTTGGCTCAGGCAAAATTATAGGCCTTTTCTCTGATTGGAAAAAAATCAGACCTGCAATTCAGCATGCACAGAGTGAGGAGCTAGCTACGTTACTGAGAACAGGTAAAACCCATAGGGAAATGATTTTGATGTGCCTGGGTCAGAGTCACATAATTACAGCCTGTATAGTTCTGCAATGACAAGAGCGTTAATGCTTGAGATGCTGCCTGAGAAGGTTCACAAGTAATTGCCTATCATGAGATTTTTGAGTAGTTCTATCAGCTAAAAATCTGTGGAAATCTGATTCTCTTTTTTGTTCATCATAAATAAATATATTTAACCTATAGTTACAATGAATGTCTCTAAGTCCATAATGAGTTAGCACTTACAGTACTGAATTAATCCTGAATCACTGTATTTTTAGATATTCAGTTAATACTGCTGCTACAGCTTACTTAGTGACTGTATCACTGAAGATTGAATATGCTGTTAAGGATCAGAGGGTCAGCTCTGAGATCAGATGGGGTTGCTCAGGGCTTTGTGCACCTGGGTCTGGAAAAAACCTCCAAGGAAGGAGACCAAACAAGCTCTCTGGGCAGCTTGTGCCACTGCCTTCTGCCCTCCTGGGGAAAAAGTTTCCCCTTGCATCTAGTTAGCAGCTCTCTTTGAGGTTATGATGTGCTTAAGAGGAGTGAAAGCTTTAAAAAAAAAACCCTACTTTAGATATTTTAAGATTGAGATGAGTAGCAGTTATTTTCCTACTTAAGGAGTTGTTTGAATCCAATATTTCCCCCCATAAATTAAAGAGGACGGCATTTTGCCCTCAGAGTGCAGCTTTGAGAAATCCAGTTACTCAGTTGCAGATGGCAGGGTTAATAGTTATCTAGATGTAGAGCTTTATCTTACCTCTTGAAAAGCCTCTGGGGAGTGTATGAAACAGGTCTGCTAATTAAACAAGCTGGAGGCTGCAGAAACATGGAAGTGGAACAGGTGGCAAGAATGGCAGAAAATACCTTGGCTTCTCTCCTCAGCTAGGCCAGCAGGTGTTGACAGGCACGTAGGGGTAGGAAAACTGTCAGCTTTTCTTCTTCTCACCTTTGACAGAAAGGGAATAAATAGAACAACTTATCTTTCATGTTTAAATATCATTACAGTTGAAAAATTTCATCAGATTCTGTTCCCAAATGTATCTTAAAAAGCAAAGAACAAAATAAACTCAAGAAATGGAAAGAACAAGCATCTGTTTTCAATTGAAGTTAAAAGTGATTCTTTAAAAACAAAACAAAACCACTAACCTTTATTTTTTCATTTCTGACAAAATAAATCATATTGGACAAATTAATATTAAATTTAGTAGACTTTCCATCACATGAAAACAAAACCCAACTGATTTTATACTTAAGAAAATTACCATCACTCAGCAAATCCTGTTTATGTTGGAAAAAGAGGCTCTGCTTGTGTATTAACACTCTGGCCAGGAAAGAATCTTGGTTATTTTGCTCTAGGAGTAGTTACTAAAACAGAACTTTCCCATTTTATAGATAGGAAATTAAGGGTTCTTTAGTTTGGTATCAGAATTAATAACAAAAGTTGGTGTGCAGCTTTTGCTATCCAGGCCTGTCAGCCTGTGGTCACCTTGTCTCTCAAATATTTCTCTTTCACTACACATTTACTTAAATCGGTTTATTCTGTTTGCTTCTTCACACCTGAGTCTTCAGAGTTTCTTGTCTGGAACTAGTTATGAGCACAAGGGATTGCAGGTCTATGTAAATGATTTGTACATCTTCTTATGCCCACTTTAGTATAAGTGGTATTGCCAAGTGTGTTTCAATAAAGTTATTGTGCAAAATCCATTCTTATGGGTAATTTATGGTCTTCATGGTCCATTAAAAAAAAAAACCCTACAAACCAATAAAACTGTGGAACAAGGAAGAATATTTAAAAAAATCTCTAAATTCATCAAGCCAGTTGTGATTTTTTTTTTTAAATTATTTTTAATTTTTTTTTTTTAATGTGACTTGAAAGGTTAAAATTACTGCTAGTGGCCGTTCATCCCATTGTAGTTGATGACCTACTGTGAGGACTGTCAGTTGCTTTACTCCTTTAGATTGAAGTGGCTGATAAATCATTCTTTGAGTCTGCCCCTTTGATTGCTGTGCTGTAGCTGCACCCTCTCCTAGAAGTGCTTGCTGTTGTGTTTGGCACCGCAGGTGGTTCCTGCTTCTCTTCCTCCTTGCCTCTGGATGTGATGGTGATTGTGGATGTCGGGATGGGGCAGTCTGGAGGGCCCCTCCTACTTGCATTGTCTGGCCTCCAACTCTCTGCCCCTCTGCTTCTCGCTCCTGTCCTTGAGCTATGTTACAAGTTTGAGAGCATGTATCTGTCTTAATGCACAGCACAGTGCTACAGTGACACTCATTAATCAACCTTCGGACCTGAAAGCATGCCCCAGCTGGTGAATCGACCAGTTCTGCACAGCTCAGGCGAATTCTGTGCTATGTTAAATCTATAACTAGTAAATTAAATGTGGCTGGGGAGAGCATTTCTAGATTCTCTTCAAATTTCTTGGTATTAGACGAACTCTTGTTTTCTTAAGTTCCTTAATTGTGAATAAAGGAACAACATGTTTCAGATTGGTTTTATTGTATTGCATTTAATACTGGTAAGCCAGTGCAAAATTTATTCTAAAATCTGTAAAAGCTGAGTAAGTTAGTTGACCATTTGTAGCCATATTTGTAAGTTTGAGATTCACAGATCATTTCTATTTAACTCAGGTTTCCTAAACTTTATCTTCCTTTTCACTAAAGCCAGTTTATTTTCTCCGTCCTCTTTTTAAACAGATGAACCATGTAAAAGACAGATTTGGTGACAGCGTGCCAGAAGAAGTGCTTCTGCTGTGTCTGGGCATTACTTCAGGAGTTGGCAGATTGATTTTTGGCAGAGTTGCAGATTATATTCCCGGTGCAAGAAAAGTTTATTTACAGGTATGTCTTCACGTCATGCTGAAGGAATATACAAATGATATTCTGAAGGTTTTGGTTGAAGTACTATTAAGCAGAATTAACTGATTTGAGATTCAAATTTGAGAAATTTCGAACCTCTAGAAAACTTTATGATTTTTGATACTAGGAGCCTTTGGTGCAAAGTTCACAAATGTCTGATTGTTTTTTTCTCTTTTAATGCTAAGGAAACATGTCTACTATCTGCTGGCTGTTTTCAGCTGGGAATGAAAGAAATTACTAGTCATTAGCATGTGAGTGAGAAAACCCTTGGGGATTCTCTAGATTCTACTTTTCTTGTTTTATCCCATGATTTCATGATGGTTGCAGAAAAATTATTTTTTTTTCCCTATGTCCTCCATTAAGGATTTCGGTTCTCTTTAACTTTGATGTGTGATAATTTGGTGTCACATGTATTCTGTTCATAGTGCACACTGGTAAAGCCATGGTAATATAAGTAGTGCTTAGTTGAGGAGATTTTGCTGAATTGAAGGGTCACAGCTTCCAGAAATGCTGTAGCTTGGGGATGAAGGAGGATGATACTCCCTCCACACTTACAAACATTTTTTTTTTTTGAGACAGTAGCAATGTTATCAACCACTGGCTGTTCTTGTTTTATTGTTTTAAAATTAGTAACAAGGGAGACATCTAATGGCCATTATCTGTACTACATTACTGAAAAGAACAATTCTTAGGAAAACACCACCTTTCTGAAGATGGGGAGTATTTGTTGCCATAGTTATATACATTTAGGTTCCCTGATGATAGAGACTGGGACTGTATCTCATTCGTTTGCATTGATACCTATTGTTACACTTTAAGGAAGTATGAATATTAAGATTAAAAAATGAAAAGGCAGCATTGAGATGTTACACATGATTTACAAAGCAGAAATACCAAACTTGCAGTAAAGCTACAAACATTTTTATTCTTTTCCTTGAATAGCTAGAACTGAAAATGATGGACTTGTTTAGGGCATGAACTAGGATGCTTCTGAGTACTTTGGCTTCACTTAATTTTAAGAAGGAAAAACATTAACTTTTGCTAAGCCATGCCCCAGCCACCTTCAGCTCTCCTGTTTCAAAGGAGCGTTTTTGATGAAAAGTGAATATTCACCTCGAGTATTATTCTAGATTGCCAAACAGTTCATACTATCATCCTATCTCATGCAAAAAAATATTTTAAAATTAATTTTGACTAATGCAAATGAAATCTCTTTTCTCTTAGAACTTTACTGTCTTGTAATTGAACAGCTTACAAGAGTTCTACTCAGCCAGTTCATCTTTCTGGTTTTGCATTCTTTCTTACAGACCTGTTTTGATGGATTTTGCTTTATAAATTCTCTTTAGGAACAGAATGATGCATTTTGTCTAATCTAGATATAAATTTTAGTGATTCAGGTTTTAGTGCCGCTTTTACCATGGTATGATAATACAAAAAATCTGGTCAACAATATTTTGTTTAGAGTCTGTCTACAGATAACCACATTACTACTTAGAAACTCATCTCAATATTTGTATCTTTTGTATTGGAATACACAGAACTGGTAATTTCTTCACTTCTATCCTTAAGTTCCTGTAAGAAGCCCAGTTTTTCAGTGTTTGTATTTCTATACCATACTTAAGATGCTTCACAACAGTTTTTCATTAGTATGCTAAATAAAGTACATTACCTAAAAGAATTGTTATGCTGTCCTGAAAACTGTTTCATGTAGCTGTCTGCTTAAAGACTTTCCCTAATGAAGTAACTGATTTGATGTCACTTACCTGTCAAAAAAATGTGATGTCTAGTAGTTTTTAAGTGACCTTGTTTTTCTTTAATGGTCTACAAGTGACAAATGCATAATGCATATGTCTTGTTTGGAAAATGTTTGTGCAGTTAGGTGGACATTGGTTTCCTATGCTGACATATGGATGATGCACAAGCAAAACTCTTACCTTTTTAATTTTCTTTTTAATTCTGTTTTGTCTTGCTGGAAGACAGAGTATTATTCCTTTAATTGACAGCAAACAAATAATAATTTTAGATTACTTACAAAAATATTGTAATCTTATGGATGCCTACAGGAATACAGCAAGATAGCTTTATGTGGAAAAAACTGAAATGAGGCTTTCAAATACCATCTCTGTATATAAGCACCCTGACATAATCACTCATAACAGTGATATTTTTACTTAAATTACAACAGTGAGGAGTCAAACTGTAGTGTTTCAGCTATATTAAACTTTTGATATTTTTGTGACTTTCATTTGTGAAAAGAGCAGATAGTAACTTTTCAAAAAATGTTGGTGCATGAGAAATGACCTTACATAATCACTGCAGGATAGTTGATTACAGATGCATTTTGTGAAATGGGTAGTGGAATTTCTTTGATTCCATGTCATGACAGTTATATGTGTTTGTTTTTATCTTGGTATGTAACTTCTGATGGTGTCAATCCATGGAGACTGCTTATATTTATTTTAAAGTAGAGATAGACAATTCACTACAAATTCAAGAAAGCTCATTTGTTCCCTTAATCTTTGCTTATTTGATGCACCATGTTCTTATATTTTTTTCTTTGGTCATCTTTAGGTGGCCTCATTCTTCTTTATTGGCCTGATGTCTATGATGATTCCACTGTGCCACGTCTTTGGAGGTCTCATTGCTGTCTGTCTCTTCATGGGCTTGTTTGATGGGTGCTTCATTTGCATTATGGCTCCTATTGCCTTTGAGCTTGTTGGGGCTCAGGATGTCTCCCAGGCCATAGGATTTCTCCTAGGACTCATGTCAATACCTATGACAGTTGGTCCACCCATTGCAGGTAAGTATAGATATGGTCTGTAGCTGCAAATATGCTTCTGTGGTTGAATGACCTTTTGGCCATATTTTCTGTTCTTACATCGTATGGAGTGCACTTACATTGGAAGCTTTCTTGGTATGTGCTCCAGAATATATGGTGCACATAACTGCTGCTCATGGGTTATTAATTTACTGTACTCTTTAAAGTTTGCTTAAGTCTTTTTTATTAAGTTACTCAAATGTGAAACATTCCTCAGAAGAAAGATAGGTTTCCAGCTGGATTGAGGACCTGACATTTTCCAGGCTGTTGAGGTGACAGCCTATATGTTGATTTTTACAGGAGGACTCAAAAATTAAAATCTGAAAATTAATTGGACTCCAAAATTTGATCATACAAAAACAATTGTGAGGATAAAAGGTCCAGTCACTTTAATTTCTTCTTTTAAGTAGGAACACTGGCTTTTTGCATTTCTTGATGGGAGACTGTTAGACAAAGTAGAGATTTTGAAGATTAAAATCGGAAGTTCTCTGGGAGGTGGAAATAGCGTAAGCTATAATGCTTACCACTGATGATTTTCAATCGTAATTTACCCAAAGGTCTTGTGAGTGCTACTGAAAGATAGTAAGCTCAGTAAGACATAACTGAACCATGCAGCATTATAAAGAACAACATTTTAAAGCTAGAACAGCATAGATTAGGCACTTTTTGATCTGGATACACTATCACAGCTATTAATTCTTAAATAGAATTTGATTAATGGGAGGAGTTTTGAGAGAGCAGTTAGAGTGAATTGTTGGAAAACACTTTTTAATAAGAGGCTACCAGGAACGCAATATATGCAGTATACCTAGAATAAGATTAAGAGGTACCTTGATCAAAGGCAACTGTTACCAAAAGAAGGGGGATTTCTCCGAGTCCATTGCAGGATTCAGGTACTGGAGAACCTGAAATGAGCAACTTTCAGATAGGAAATGTGGTGCATGTTTTTAATGATGGGTGGTAACTAAGCAGTTGAGTGGTGACATATTGAGTTATTTGTTACCTGGAGTCTTTAAATCAACTCTGGAATACCTTTCTACCTATATATACGCACCTATATTTGGCCATCGGTCAGATTAGTGGTTATAATAGTCTGTGCCAGCATTCAAGTTTCTAAATCCAAAGAAAAGACCGTGTTTTTGTTGATTCCCGAGGCCCCATTATTTATCAGTGGTAACTTTCTGTCTTTACAGGTTTGCTATATGATCACCTTGGCACCTATGATGTAGCATTCTACCTGGCTGGAGTCCCTCCCATTATTGGTGGAGCTATATTATGTTTCATCCCCTGGGTTCACGAACGGCAGAACTTAAAAGGAAGACCAAAACGTGTTGATGGAGAAACTACTGAGAAGATGTTGGAAAATGAAAGCACTTTGGTGTCGGACACTACAGAAAAGCCAGTCAAAGAAATGGAATCTGGGGTTTGATGCTTTCTTTTCCTGTACCAACCCAACCTTCTTCTACCAAAGCTAGATTTGTACTTTTTTGGCTGAAGATACTATATGATACTGAAGAAGTCTTGAACTATCGCTGAAATTTCAAAACTGCTATAAGAATCTTTTCTACCATTGAACTTTTTTTGATGAGCTGTTGAGTTTGATTTCAAGCCACATTTTCAAGGTATTTGAAGTTTTGTAGCATTAGTGTGTACGTGCGTAGTGATTCTGCGTGTGAAGAGAATATTTTTCTAATTCAGCAGAACCTATTTCTGCAAGAGTGAAAGCTGGTTTTGGTTCACTGAACCAGGATTCTTCAATAACTTCTATAGTTCATCCAATGCAGGCACACCCATGGGTGTTTGTACTGGAAAATGTAGTAGCTCTTAAGATTTTTGGTCTTTTGAAGTTTCTCATGCTGTTTTACAGTCTTCTACAATTCTATATCATGAAAATCCATATGCATATTTTTGTTTCCCTTAACTCTTGCTGAAATAATTTTGCATTAGAAAGCTAAATTATTAAACATCTGCTTTATTTTCTCTAAATACCCCAGCCTCTTCAGTTTGCTTTAAACACTCGCCTGTTTTTGCATTCTCCTTTTCACAGTAGCCCAAGTGAAGAACGTTAAAGGATAAAATTTTTGATGGGCACAGGTTTTGAGTGTGTGCAAAATAAGCTCTGAGTGCAAACACATTCAGAAGTGAAGCTGATGAATGATAGATTCTTTTTTTATTTGGTGAAGGCAATACTGTTAATGCATATGTGTATATCTCTTTTTTTCAGCTCAACCTCAGAATAGCTGACAGTTTTGAAGTTGTACTGACAGTGATACTTTGGAGCAGTATTGTGAATTGGACTAAATTTCAAATTATTCTGTTGTACTTGTTAGGTTCTTTATTCTTAAAAAACAAGACAGCTTTAAAGGATACATTCTAAGTGCAATAATAAGTTGGTTTTACCATGGAAATATACACGAGCTATTAAAATGACATTCAACAATTAAAGATTTTTGCACTAAGTGAACATGCAGGTTTATTGTAGGTCTTTATAGCTGTGTTCAATTGCACGTAGGATATAGCTCCATATTTTTTTCAAATATAAAGAAATGTCTTTGCATGCCCTATTTCTTGCTTCATGTACTAGACATATGACCCTGTTGGTATTGTTAAGTATTATGCACTGTTTGTCAAGCAGGTATTTCTGAAAATCTTTCTCTGAAAAATATTTGAAAGCATAATACTTTGAGGTGAAAACACTGCTTTTCAGTTTATCCTAAACCACTTCCAAATACATTGTTTATTTGTGGATATGGATCAGCAATGCAATGGAATACTTAATCAGTCATTATTTCAAGTCCATTTAATACCAATAATTTTCTTGTTTAGAAATGCCATAGCAAAGAGTAAACTAAATGTGATCTGAAGAAAAAAATGCAGATTTTATGTGCATTTTCTTAATTAGCAACAATACCTGTTCTTTACATAAACCATGGAGGCATAGTGTTTTAAAGTTATAACCTTTGTTGCCTTTTCTATTTTTATTATTTTTTTTCTCCAGAGTTGTAGTAAATTGCTCAGAAAGCCTAGATACATTTGTGGTATAAAACATTATATTAGCAATACTATTGCGTGGAAATGTTTACATCTATCAACTTACAGAAGTCCTTTAAATATAATAATGCAAAGTATCCTAATTATCGGAGACCAAAGCTCATACCTTTTTTTATATTGCAGAATTTCAATCCTGCTTTACACGAGTGAAGTTTAAAAGAATCTGATCTTAAAATGTTAGAGGTGTATGGGAGGAACTTGGAGGTGGAAAAAACCCAAACCAATCTGCAAATCAGAGGTCCCTTTAGATTCACTGGAACTTGTGCTTCTGCACCTCATGAGTACTCCTAAAAATGTCATTAAAATATTCATAGTATTGTTAATTAAAATGTCTACAAAATGCTGCCTTCATTATAAAAATGTTAACAGCCTCTGCTGTTAGGGTCTGGAGTACTCTGTAGAACATGTTATTCAGTATTAACTTTTATTTGCAATGTAAAAGGTGTTGAGTAAGTGTGGCAAAAGCCCCTTGTTATGAAAAATTAGTATTCATCATGGATCTTGTTTTGTGTGTTTTTAGTGTTGAGTTTTTAACCAAAAGCAAGGCTGCTTTTTAGCACTGATGCAATTTGATATTGTGATGTAAATGTGGCATCATCCTGACTTGCTGCTCTGTATCTATTTAATTATCTGTGAGAGAATATAAAATAATTGTTGCTAAGTTTTAGAAATGATACAGAAATAGTATAACAGTAATATGGATTAATTATGCCATACCCTTTAAAAATATATCTATATAAAAATTCAAACTCTTGTATTTGAGTTACTAGAAATGTAAATTATGCTCACAAATATGAAGGACAGCTTTTTTTTAAAAAACAAACAAACAAACAACCCAGAGTCTCCAGGAAGAGAGTATGAGTGAATAATTGTTTAGGAGTAATTACTATATTAAAAACAGCTTGTGAATGGGATGTCAGACAAGAGGGAAGCAGAGTCAGGGGTAAAGAAGCTATGCTGGTGTGATGATGTTGGAATAATGAACCTATTTCCGATGTTGGTGCTTGTTTTACAACAGTGCTGAAACTGGAAGGCTTCAGAAAAAAATGATTTTTTTTTTTAATACCTTTCAGAAAAGTAAATGAATGCATGAGAATTCTGTTGGCATCTTTACTGTTAGCTTGCATCTATGGGGAAAATATCCAATGGAAAATGTTCTTTATTGGACATAAGCAAAAGAAGATTGTGTCCTAAAGCTATATAAGGTGCAGTTCAAATGAAATTAAAATTCAGATTGTTAGCGGTGAGGCTAACTAAACATTGAGAAACTTACTTAGAGATATACTGGATTCTGCATGCCCTGAGGTTTTAAAAATTAGGTTAGCTGTCTCCCTTAAAAAAACCCCAAACCAACAAAACCCAACCCAAAACCCAGAAAACCCAACACAAATAGCAACTATTTATTACATTTATGAAAAAATGATTGAATAATATAGAGATGGTTGCTATTCTGAAAACCAGATGAAAAGAGCACCAAATATTAAATTTTATTTTGACTGAATAAATGTAAATTTTTTGTAACAAAATTTACTTTTAGGTGTGAAAATCTTCATGGGAAACCTGCTGAACTCATATTTTGATGACCTAATTCATGCTAGATTTAATCTTGTTGGGGGTAGATTGTAAAATGACAATACTAGTTTAGTTGAAGAAAACCCTTCGATGATTCAGATGTATCCCTCCCTTGAGAACCATTCTTAGACTACTTACTTTTCATAGGCATTGCTCTCCCATCCTATAAACAAAGTTACTGTCTTTTTTTCATTAGATGTTCTCAGGGTAAGCTTCAGAAGTGGGTAGAAAGAGGTTCACTTAAAACGGCAGTGTGAAATTTCTGGTGCTACTTGAAGCTGTTCCTTAATACACCAGATCTTGAAAGCAAGATTAATTTTGAGCAAGGAATTGGTTTTATGTATGGCTGACACATCTTTTCAGTAGGTATGAGATCCTTGTAAATCTTAATATAGCTGTTCAGCAAAGAGTTTGAAATAATGAAAACCCTTCAGGTTCCTATTTACATCTAAGCTATGCAACAATATACAATGTATACTTAATTTAAAAAGTATTGTTGGATTTATTCTGGCTACATGATAGAAGACCTGTACAAGTCTCAAACCAAGACTTCAAATTAACATACTCTTAGAAATTATTGCATCCAGATCTTTGTCTGTTCAGCATTAACATTTTTAATTTTTTAAAAAAGTATTTCCAGCAATCATTTGGAATCTTTCCTAAATTGCTCAAGTCAAAGATGACATAGCCATTCTGTGGCCATCCTTCAGGATATATTCAGTATCAGATGAAGTAGACAACTTATACTTTTCTCCTTTGCTTCTTCATGCACAATGTCTAGGTATATATATTCCCCCCTTCCCTTTGGAGACACTGGATTGTCAAAGCTGATACACACCATACTGGATATGGATAGTACTTCTTGACCTTCTGTTCTCAAACTTCTTCCCTGCATTAAACTTCTGAATAGCTATGGCCTGATAAGACTAGGCAAGTTTTTGTGAAGTGGGAGATGTGAGGTTGAATTGGCTCCCAAGAGTGCTGAAGGCAGTTCTCACACATACTAGTTGAATGCTTTGATCGCACTCTTAATGTGTAAAAAATGTACACTGCCATTTTAAAGCAAAAATGCCCATCTCGATTCTTTGCATCAGGTAGTACATACCCAAGGGACAGGAGATGCTTCCTTGCAGCCCCGAAGGAAGTATAAGGGTAGGAATCAACGCTGCTGTCCTTAGGATCATCCTTAAGGGTTAGCTTAAGCAGCCGAGTTCTCATGGGGCACCTCCGTGCTTCGCTGCTTGCTGAGCAGGGAGCAGAGGTGCTGCCTTGTTTGGGGCCCCAGTTCCCCTCTGGGGAGCTGGAAGTGTTATGGAAGCTGACTGTTAGGCATCTTAATTCTTCTGTCAGAAGTGACCCTCTGATATTAAGAAAGTGTGTATGTATGTATATATAAATGCAATGTGTTTTCAGCAGGGCATATACAAACATTCTGCATTTAACTACAGGAGCTGTAGCACTGGAATGTGGGAGACAGCTGCAGAAAAAGTACTTTCATTTGTGTGTTTCGCTGTTGACAAGCACAACACCATTACAGTTCCAGACAGCCAGTGAGTTTCTAGTCATGTAAACTTTGGCATATTTTCATTATGCCTTTTAGTCTTTTATATATATATACACTGTGTCAACATTTTTAATGTTTCAGAACTGTGTGGGCTAAGATTAGAGTGATTTTATACTAAAAATGTGGTCTAATATTGATAACACTGACATGTTTAAGTATCTTTATAGACATATTTTGTATGTTGGTTTTGATATTAAAGGATACACATTTTGCTAGCCTTAACTCCATTCTTTTAAAGTTCTGCTTTGTTAGAAGGGTAAGAAATGAATGTCTAATGTTTTTCATGGTGCTAAAGTAACTGTGATCGGTCTCAAATTATTCAGAATAAAGATGGTAGTTCTTAAGTGCCCCATTTGTTATTGCATGCATCATTTTGAGTCTTGTTCACCTGTAAAACTTGTCATTTTTATAAAGTAATTTTGTGTTCTGGTAATTATTGAATTTCATGTGCAGACTTTTGTACAAAAGTCTTTACAGCTTTTATTACCACTTTGTTCTGACTGGAATGTCCCCATTACATTTGCTTCTAAATTAATATATGACGCAACCTATTTCATTCTGATTGCACTGATAATCCATTTTAAGACCAGTGGTTTATAAACCTCAACTACTGACTTCCAGAGCTACAGGCTTATGAAAATTTTATTGTCTATTCTATTTTTCATTCTGGGGTTTAATATCAAACTTATGGAACAGGCAAAAGTAAAATTGAGGGAGGGAAACTGGTAGAATAAACTTGAGTGGCACTTTGAGAAAACCGTATTTTTTGCTTCATGAACTGCCAGTGTAATTCAGTGGACCTTTGATCATTTACTGGCCTGCTGCCAGTTTCACCTTGGCTTACCTTGGCAGTATGAAGTGTTTCCTTATTGACAGCTTCAGTAAATCGCAGGAGTTCATTCACCTTTTCTTTGTAGTAGAGCCAAATATTTCATTTTCTTTAATAAACATATCTAATGTTAAGGGGGAAATATTCTCATTCCACCTGGGGTTATTCTCTAGACTATTTGTATTTCAAACTAAAATTTGAAAAAATATGCCTGAAACCTTTATAAGAGCCTGAGTGCTGTTGCCATTTGTACACTCTCAAGGTAGGAAACCTCGTTGTAAGTATGTAAAACAAAAATGAGGAGAAGCTTATGGAATAATTTTCAAATACTTTTTTACCTTTTTCAGGGAGCTATTTTTATAACAGCATTCATCATGAAAGCTAATTAACAGGGCAAAATACAAACATATAGAAATGCAGTTTGGTGTGTGCATAATTCTCAAAAAAGAAACTTATTTTATACTTTATTTAGAATACTCCTTACTGATAGACCTATGAACAACAGTGTTCTGTAGATATCTGATAGTAAGACTTTGCACTTCTTGCAAAGGTATTAACGTGGCTATGGCTAATCACCATTAGATGTTCTCTTGCTTCGTTATTTGTTGTAGCTAGATTTTTGATTTTTGATTTTTTTTTTTAAATGCATGCATCCATTCTTTCAGGTTTTCCTGAACTGAAGCCATACTTGCAACATGCTGTTAACCAGTGCCAGAGAAATAGGATGAGGCTGCTGCAGTCTCCATGCCCTGTCTGTTACGTTCTAGCATATCTTTCTGTTCAGAACAACTTGGAAAACAAAACCAAAAATCCCCTTGGGAATTATCTTAGAGTTGTTCGTGAGGTTTAAAAATAATAATTATGCAGAAAGTTAAAGCCTTTCTTACAGGGAGTAGCACCTCTGTACTGCACAGCACTCATGAAACGAGACGTTTGGAAAAGGCTGTGAGCTACTCTTGGCAAGTAGTAGAGATTTATGTAAGTGTGTTAAGCCCAGAGGAGACCCAACAACTCTGTGTCTTGGCACGCTTATAAAGCTTTCCAAGACACAGACAGGGGCGAGGGCAAAGACTGTTTATGCTAAGTTGTCTGAAGGGTCCGGTACAGGTTGAGTTATGGGAAAACACAGGTTTGTGTTTGGGTTTTTTTTTTAAAGGCTCTGGTTTATAAGGGCACTTTTAATTAATCGGCTCCTCGCTCTGCTGAAAGCAGTACAGCCTAAGCCTGTCGCTACTTGCAGGGTGCAAGTTCAGGCGTCAGCTGCCCCAGTAACCCCAGCCTGAACCCCTCGGCCGGCGCCGGCAGGCGCTGGGCAACCTCACCAGGAAGCAGAAGCCCCGCTGGCGGCGGCCATCTTCCGCGCGCGCTCAGCCCCGCCCCCGCCGGCGCGGAGCACGCCGGGAGCTGCAGTC